GATCGATAACTTGAGATTTTAAAAGAACACTTTATTGCTTTAAGAAAATCAACTCAAAACTTAAAGCCTTAAACTCTCTCTATAATCTCATAAGGTTAACCACAGCTTTGGCAACTCTTATATATATAGATGAGATAATCAATTCCTAATCCTATTAGATAAACAACTTTTCCTTTCTTAGATAACTCCTAAGAACATTTTAAATAACTCCTAGAACTTTTCCTTTTCCTAAACTCCTTAAGAGACTTGTTGCTCAAGCTTTGATCAAGCTTACTCCAACGCCATGTTGGATGCTAGGAACTTCAGCTCACACACCTCTCCTTTAACACAAATGAATTTCATTTATGGTTCAAACTTCAAAGCATTCTCTGGTGCCTGGTGGGTGTCTTCTATGCCCTTAAACAGTTTGAACATCCCTCAAAATTATATTCCACATATAATATCCATTTAATATTTATGATAGATAGAAATTATATATTGAAATGATAGATATATGTGAAAATATTACACGTATTTTCTGTTTATGGAATTAATATTCATTTAATTTTTATAATGATAGATATAAATTAAAATAAATAAGATATGTAGAAACGCAGTATTAAATGTTAATAGCATAAAAAACGGAATTGTTTATAAGTCAATATATCTATATACTTATTTGTGTAGTGATTTGCTTACGTGTCGCGTTCAGAGCGAGTTTCCGAGTATTTCGCTTACGTGTCAGTTCTAGAATGAGTTTTGGCTGCAAAAAGACTATTTAGCCCTATTTTCCAATTACGTGTCATTTTTATCTGATGACGTGTAAAAAAAAAAACTTAACACAAACCGGTCTAAATTATTATGGTTAAATACTTAGTTTCGCTGTCAAATCAAACTATTTTTAAAATTATATTAAACCAAAATTTATAAAAAAATAAACAAAAACGTTTTTCAAAAATAACACAAAAATCTAGAAATTTATATTTTCTTACGTTCTCGAACTTTAAAACAAAAATTAAATTAAAAAAAAACATAAAACAAAACAAATCGGTCTAAATTATTATAGTTTAATGCTTAATTCCATAGTCAATCAAACTATTTTTAAATTTATATTAAACCGAAATTTAGAAAAAATTAGACAACAACGTTTTTTTAAAACACAAAAAATTAGAAATTTATCATTTCTTATGTTTCTGAAATTTAGAAAAAATCTAACTAAAATTTTAAAAGAAACAAAAATTAGAATAAAATTTAGAATGTTGTTTCAAAACAAAAAAACGAAATTTATGCTAGAATATCGTTAATTATTATAGTGTTTATGATTTCTTATGTTTATAGGGTTCTTGATTTCTATAATTTTATAAAACTAAAATTTAGTAAAATCTAAGAAAGGAAAAAAGTAAAAAAAAAATAATAAATGAAATCTATATGTTTAATGAAAGGTTTTTAATTATGATATCTAGAATAGGATTTTCGATTTCTTATCTATATACTTCAGAAATTTTTTTTTAACTCTTTTGTTATAATCAAAATTTTTATTTGTAAATTTCGGATTCATCTAACCTAGAAAAAAAGATAAAAAAAAAAATTTAATGCTCTTAAAATTATTCATTTATAAAATTACATTTGGTAGACATATATAACCTACGCGAGGCGTGGGCAAATTAACTAATTTTTATTATTACAATAGCATAGCGCATAATAGATAAGCTCAACTAACTTTACAAATTTGCCAGGATGAGATCAATAGGATGGGAAAATAAACCATGTACACTATTTGAAATATAGACTATATATAGGTATATGTTAACTAATTTTCCAAACATATACCTATATATCTAAAAAGAAAAACTAATTTTCCAAACATATTTTGGACCCTAAATATACAAATTTGTTTGTTAGTTTATTACAAGTCATGTGCAAAACAGCAAAAGCACATGTTGCACATGTTTAGAACCGCCTTGAACTTCTTCCTTCTAGAAGACAAAAATTTGCAAAGCAGGCATCGTCAACAACACATATGAAGTATGCAAATGTCGGTTGTTGCATGTTTAAAAAATACATATGGTACTTAAACTCAAATCACAACTCTTAAGAATTGTACATATATAACATTATTTTCCTATTTATTCTTAACCTTTTCTTTTTTTGATCTACTGCTATTCTTAACCTTTTCACTTGGAGAACTATCTTAACAAAATCAGAAAACGCCTGATATGTGGAGGCAGCAAAGTCTGACTGATATTTGATCTTGTTGCTTTTTTTCGAAGAACGTTGGGAAAGAAAGGAAAATTCTCGGTCCAGCTTAGCGAACTATCAAAGGTAAAAGTGAAATTAAGGTATTAGCATCTTGTGTTTCGAAACATAGTCACAGGCTTACAGAAATGTATTATTTTTTCTTTAGAGTTTCCATATTTGTTAACATTTTAAAGCTTAAGCTTGTTCAAACACTTTCTTCTTCATTTTTGCTATCATGTTCGATTTTAGTTTAGTTGTTTAGAATCTTTCAATTGCATGATTTTGTATTTCATGTGGTGTTTACAAACAGTGGGCTTTTTTATGCCCAACAAACTTTTCAAATGAATTTTGAAAGCCTGGTATATATGCGTAGCTCATTGTACCAAATATTTTAAAGTACACCCTTGATGAACGCAGTGTGTGGTTCAGTGTGAAAGATCAGCTACCACTAGGGGAAAATCAAAGAGATTTTTTAACTAGATACAATGATGCATAATTGAAAAAAAAAAATTAAAGAGAGGTTCGAATTAGGAATAATTAGAAAGCACACAAGAACACATTTGCCATCACATCTAACAAATATCTTGAAATTTGTGCACTAAAATATGAATATTAATTTGTTTTATTGGTGCAGATGCCCTTGTAGCTAACAAGCTACCTTCATTCGTTCTTGGCTACCATCAGTCCTATATAAGGCCTAACAGTTGAAGACGTCCACATGATCAACCAATAATCTACCTTGAGGATGACTCATGGAAGATGGGAGCATATTGCAGTGACTGACGTTAGATCTTAGTGGATTTAGACGGTCGCACATAACTCATTGGTATACAAAAATTCTACTAGAGAGTTTACTTCCCCCTCTACTCATAGATAGAGTCGCTTATATGGCCAATGTAATGTCTAACTAGGGGCTTCCCCCTTGTTTGGAACCTGTTACTGTGAGTCTGTGATCTCATTCAGATGGTCAACCATTGTTACGAATGGTCAATGGACGGAATTAGGCACATCGCTCCAATATTATGATAACAGAATGAAGAGAATCCATTGTGGGAGAACTAATCTAATAACATTGTGGCACTGATGTTGACTTTATCCCCATTATGCTGGATAAAACCTGAACAGATGTTAAAATTTCCATTGAGGCGAGTGTAAGCTAGTTATTAGGATAATTGTTTTTGCAGTATTTGAACCCAACAACTTTAATTTCTCACTTTAGATTATTACCCGCAGATAATCACCATCTTTCTCCGAAAATTGGCCCCTAAAATTAATGAACTTTATCTAGCCATGAAGCCCATGTTTCATCGTTCCATCTAGAACCACATATGCTCATATCTTATATATAAAAAATGATCAAATTTCCCTTCTGACATGTCAACAGTAGAGGAAGTGATACATATCCACTTAAATTTTAATTAATAAATTGTAATATTAAGTTTTAAATCACTTAAAGAAAATAAAAAGATTTTAAGTTAATTGATTCTTGAATAACATTTATGTAAATATCAAACAAGAATTTGTGTTATAATTAATTAAATTATTTATAAATATTTATTTAATTTTTATATAACTCTAGATTACTTAATAATATTCAATATGTATTTTAAATTATTTTTAAATTATTTATTATAACATACTGACAAGTACCAAATGATGATTATATTAATTTTTACGAAAAAAAAAATATATAAATTCAAAATAGTTGAAAAAAAACCCTCACATAATATGCGGGTATTCACATAATCTTATATGTAGATGGCTAACTATCTATATGAGTGCCACGTCACCATTTTATAGTTAATATGAAGAAAACATGTGTATATTTTTAATTTAAAGTTACAATTTTATTAAAAAAATAATTAATAAAATTTAATATTAAAAATTTAACTACTAAAAAACAAATTTTTTATTAATTGATTTTTAAATAAAATTTATATAAATATTAAAAAGAATTTATGTTATAATTTAATTAAAAATGTTGTTGATTTTTTGTATAAACTCTTAATTTTTAATGATATTATATTTTAAATTAATTGATTTATAATTATATACTAACACAGAATATATAATAATATTTTTTTTAGGAAAATACAAAAAAATTTATCAATTTTATATAATTGAAAAAAAATCTGCATGTTACGTGCAGGAGTTCTCCTAGTACTAATTCAAAAACTGTAATTTGAAAACATTGTAGAATAGATAAAAACATATCAGTTGACAAAAAAAGATAAAAATATATCACAATATGAATCTGAAAATTGGAATGACCTTAATTATATATATAATATAAATAAAAATATTACTTAAAAATAAAAATCTATTTCCTTAGTTTTTCATTTATATTGATTTTTATTGTTAATGATGTGTTAGGTGACAAGTTAAAAGTTCATGATTAATATAACCTTTTTCCAATGCTATTATATTTCATGTATATATATATATATTAATTTTGTATAAGACTTATATCTATATCTTACTTTTATAAACCAGGTTTGATAAGATTGAATTCTGAGCTGAATGCTTAACCTGTAAATGTATTTTTTAAAAAATAGGAATAGTAAAACAAAATTGGTTATAATTTTCCCTTATAGACAAAAAAGAACAAGATTCCTAAAAGATAGACCCTCTCAAAAAAAAAAAACCTATAAACTACCAGCATATCTTTTGTAAATTTCTAATTTATTACTATTTACCAAAAGCGACCCAGAAAATAAATGCAAATGGACTAGTGGTCACTGAATATATATAAAAAAACATCTTACCGCATTTAAAACGAATACCGGATTCAGTGAATTAACAGAAACGGATGTTAAAGTCGAAGAACATCTATCGACCAGACAAGGCAAGAACATTACGCTCTCTTTCGCTTTTGCAATAGAAAACCCACTTTCCCAGAAACTTCACAAATAGTTGGAAGAAGATGAAACGACGAAGAAACCTTTAAAGTTGTCATCTTTAATTAAATCCCGGATCTGCTCTTCTCCTCTGGGTCTCTCTCTATTTTTCACGTCTCCAAAATTTCCGGTTCCCGATCGGTGTGATGTATTGAGCCGTGGGAGAGATGTTGTGCTGGGGCGGTTTAGTTAAGGGTAAGAAGAAATCCGGTTCGGTTCCGGTTTATCTGAATGTCTACGATCTGACTCCGATGAATGTTTATGGTTACTGGCTTGGACTCGGTGTCTTTCATTCTGGTGTCGAAAGTGAGTATTTTTTTCTTTTCTCAAATTCAATTTTCTGGGTTTGGCTTCTTCTGTTCGAATCTACTTGTTTTGCTGCTTAGATAGTGACTTGGGACCGATTAGAATTTGACCATAGTTGAAGAAAATCCCAATTTTGATTTTGGTTATATAAGTACCTTAGGTTTGGTGCTAAGAACATGATTTGATTGCTCATGGATTCTTCAAATCTTGGAGCTTTTATTGTGCAAACCCTATTGACAATTATGATTTGTGATTCTGAATTTAGGGATAATTATAATCACTTTTTGCAGAACAGAAGTTTGTGTGTTTAGAATGCCTTCTGTAATTAGTTGTTTAGTTAGATGTTGTATTGCTTTAATTGATCATTGTTGGTTGTATAATGTTTTGTAGTTCATGGAGTTGAATATGCATTTGGAGCACATGAATCATCGAGCACAGGTATCTTTGAAGTGGAGCCAAAGAAGTGTCCAGGTTTCACGTTTAGGAAATCGATTCTCGTGGGTCAAACAGACATGGGTGCAAAAGAAGTCCGAGTTTATATGGAGAAACTAGCTGAAGAGTATCAAGGAAACAAGTACCATCTCATCACAAGAAACTGCAACCATTTTTGCAATGAAGTTTGTATTAAACTTACTCAGAAACAAATCCCTAGATGGGTAAACCGACTTGCTCGCTTAGGTAAACGAAATCAAAGTGAAATATTTGTTGTGTTTCGGCCATAAAGAAAGATCATCAAAAGTAATGCTTTCTGTTTCTTGAATTGTGTAGGGGTTCTTTGCAACTGTGTGTTACCACCGCGCTTGAACGAGGCAAAAGTGAGACGTGTAGGAGAAGGAGAGAAGAAGAAACAGAGAAACAGATCAAGACCAGGTCCGTTGCTTTCTTCTTCTTCGTCATCTTCGACACCTGATAATCATAGATCACATATTCGAGCTAAATCAACCGGTAACAATCCTTCTTCTTCGAGTTCTAAGAAGAAACAAAGACACTGTGCGCCTATTGCAACTAGAGATCAAGACCAGAATTCGTCAAGCGTAAGCGTCAAGACTTGATTCTTGTCCATCATCATTTTGAACATTTAATTATTGTTTATGAAAAAGGACAAAAGAACAGAGGAAAATGCCAAGCAAAGTATCAATCAATACATGGGCATGCTCGTGCTTTGTTCTAAAGTTATTATTATTGATCTTTTGGGGGTGTAGATCACTTTTTTCTTGGTACAATTACTTATAGAAGAGAGAGGTTATGAGAATGTACAAAAAGAAAATGAATTTTTATATATCTGTGTATGTGTTTTTATCTCTCATTTGAATCTCTATACTAAAGTTCTAAGCACATTGACTCTCTTTGTGGTCAATTTCTAGCATACACATTTCTGCATTGCTGTTACATCACCAAATGTTAGGGATCGAGAACCATATTTTATTGTAAAAGCTGCTAAAGCTACCAAGTTAACTTTCTTGTTGACCTTATTTTTTTCTTTTTGATAAGATGTGTTGAGGTCACTATCTTTTCTGGCTGCTTATCTATTTGGATGCCAACTAGGCTTTTGAACGGTCAGATGATCCGATTTCTGTGCTAGAGAATAACATACCAAATGATGTGAGGTAGTATACAAGTTTATTATACATTTTGTTATGTCAAATTGGAGCTAAACCAAATGACGTATACAGCCGCGTCTTAGGATCTTTTATACTTCTTGTTGGTTCTTCATTCTAATCTGTATTTGTTTCTTTGTCTTCAAAATTTTACTTAAACCAGCAATGGAACTGTGTGCTCATGTTGCAAAGGGAAGAACAAACATTACTACTTAAGTCACTACATGAAGTTGATATAACACAAAAGATACTTTGTCACAAAATGAATACTGATCTAACACAAAATTACACTTCTTAACAACTCATTTGCTGTTTTAATACAATCCTATAGACTTTGCACCCTAGTTCTAGTTTTGGTTTCTAAACATTGTTTATTCTGTTTTGTTTTTGTAAGTATATTTCTGGTATGTTTTGAACAAGACAAAACAAAAATTATGATTCTCACACTAAAAATATTGTCTTTTTACTTCCGCCAAGCGTAAACAATCAAAGAGTACCAACTCTTATGTCCAAAGCTCCTCTCTTCTTCCTCTTTACAAGTGGACCACTCCATCACAGAAGAAGACCAGTGACGATATGAAGACGACCAAAATGACGCCGTTCGAGAGTTCTCTTTCCGCAAAACGACGTCGTCTCGCTCTCGCTTATTCATCATCAACAAATCGTTTCCTTCCACTTCTTGATTCTCAAACCGGAGCAAGAACACGGCAGGGACTTTATCCTTGTCACCAAACAGCCAGTTGTACAAATCCCACGATATCTGTATATTCACACCATCGATCACGACCTTAGCGTTTCCTCTGAATTTCCATTGAAGCTGCTTAATCTTCAAAACACTCTTATTGTCTACGCTAAACCGGAGATTAGCATCGTTGTTAACCTTAACGTCTATACTAATCTCTCTGAGTTTTCCTTTAATCTTGATATTCGTACAGTACACTCTGTTTCCAAACAGATTTTCTCTCCTAGACACCAAGATTTGCCTCTTCGGTCTCTGTTTCAGAGAATCTCCGACAAGAAGACCCACTTCGTTAGATACGACGACAGCCACGTAAAATCCGGATTCCGGGTCGGGTCCTGATCCAAATCTTGCTTTGGTCAGGTCCCAAACGACCCGAATATCGGGTTTTCTTGATATCTTCTTGGATCCATGTTTTCTCCAGAAGGTCAAAGGCTTGATTTCTAGCCGGAAAGTGAATGGAACAGAGTGGCGGTAGCAATCCGGAGAATGGTGGAGATAGCAGTTTGCGGAGTGGCAAGAGTAGTAATGGAGGTGGAGAGAGCGGCGGAGGAAAGACTGAGACCAGGAGAGAAAGAAAACGCCGATGTTAGTATGGTAGTGGCAAGTGGTGGTGGGATTTGGGAGGTCGCCGGAGAAATACGATGGAGTTGACGGTGATGGAAGAGACGACGGTGTTTCGTCGGTGGTAGCGGTGGTGGAAGGGTGGAAACAGGCGGACAAAGGGGAGGAGGAGCCACGAGAGATTCTTCTCATTTTATGTATCTCTCAATTTGACTTATCTTGGTTGATCACATGCCTACAAAACACAAGTATGGATATGTTATTGGTGAAGTATATATCTATGTATATTTGTATTAGTGAGTGTGCCTATGTGTCTGAAAATGAGTTGTCATGTTGTGAAAATTCAAAAGAGTGGGTCAAGCAGATAATTTTTATTTTAAAGCAACTTTGTGGATAATTTTTTTAGACTGAAACAGACGTTCATTGGTATTTTATACTAGTTTTCACATTATGGCTATGCACATTATCTCCTAGTTCAGTTATTTGGAAGCCAATTAGACTTTAGTCTTTTTCCTCAATCTTTTCTATATGACTGCAACATTGATTTTTTCACTCCCTAATATAACTCGTCCACCTTACGCATCCTCATATATATGGTTAGGCGTTCATCCACTGTTTAGTGTTCGCTAAATTGTTTTATAGAACTGTGTGATCTGTGAAAATAATAAATATATCAATTCAAACTAAGATATTGAGTTCACATATACAAAATCATAAAAGTTGTCATGAATAATATGTGTTAAATTGTCAGTCTATGTATTGTTTACGTGTGGGATAAGCAAAACAGAAAAAAAAAAAAAAAGATTAACATTTCTTTATTATTTATGAATTTTTCTAAATGTAACGAGAAAGAAAACCATATCCCTCGTACAGAGACCATCTTTATCAACTGATGCGAAATGTATCCTTGTTTCTTATTTGTGATCATACATGTGAAATTTATTTAAGCAATATACAAAAAAATTGTCTTCATTGGTTATTATCCCTTTAACTATATGTATACTTTTATTTAATCAATATTGTTCTTTTTTGGGTTCTAGCTAACAAAAGAAAAGGTTTGAAAATGTCAAACTGATATGGAACCACCATACACCAATTCATTGCGAGATTGGTGCATTACTAGATACTTTTTTGTTTATACCAGATGTTGATATGTGAATATCGACAAGGGACAAAACAGTAATTTAGATCGGAAGTTCGGTTTTATTAGATTGAATCAGGTGAAATACAAATGAGTTCGGTTATTTCAATAGGCAATAACGAACTAAGACTTAATGCGACTAAGAAGCTGTCGTAACGAGTTCTCAGTCTTTAAGTCTTCTTGGGAATAACTTGTGTTTTCTGATGTCGATTCGTCTCCCTTTATATATATCTCATAAGTCGGTCTTCAAGCACGCCTTAGACGATATGGGACCGAGAGGGGTTTCCTTTTCTCTCGGTTCCTTTCCTTCTCTCTCCGAAGTTTCCTTTTTCCTTCAGGAAACTTTCCTGTTTCGGCCGAGCTCAAGGAAATCTTCTATTCCTTTGAGAGGTTTCCCACCGACCTCGGTCTAATGGGCTATCTTCGGCCCATCTTCGCTCGGCCCATCTTCTCTCGGTACATCCCTTCGTAAACCGGGCTTACAGTTCGCCGATCTCAGTTTGTACCGGAGAAAATCGGGGTGCGGTTTTCACCTCCAACAGTTAGCCCCCCCCTCAGTTCGGTGAAAGGAGGTGACTTTCAGTTGAACTCAATTCTTCGGTTATTGGATCACAAACTGAGCTCGATAACTGTCGTCGTTTCGCATTTCCGGACGTTTCACGCCTATCTTCAATGAGGCGCGTGAATTACGGGTTTTTCGCGAAAATCGAGGAACCCACGATTCCCACTGTGTATAAAGGGTAACTCTTCTTTTCGCATTCATTATTCTCGCCTCAAGCATATATAAGGTACGCCGCTCTCCCTTCTCTCTAGATTTTATTTCTCTCTCTAGTTTTTGTTCTTCGTTTTCTCTCGTTTCTTCAACTCCCGCCGCTGCGAACTCTTGATTTTTCCAATCAACCTTCAAACTTTCCGGTTGATCTCCAAACTGTTCTTTATTTCCTTCAAATCTTCTTTCCGAAACCCTAAAATGTCTTCCAGCTCTTCGATTAATTCTTCCTCGAATAAAATTCTTCCGGAAGACCACCCTGAGTCCTCGGAGCCGAGCTCCTCTTCTTCAAACCCTCAGCAGTCAAGTTCATCACGGGGAGAAAGCAATCTTCCCCAATTAGTTCGTAAGAACTCTAGATCTGCAGAAGCTAGCAGCAGCCGTTCTAGAGTTAGAATTGAAGCTACCGAAGATCTGACTGCAGAGGCTCGCGAAACGGAAGCTCGGGCTGGACCGAACGTTGATGCTAACACCCCCGAGATCGAGGAGATCGAGGAAGAATTTCAGGGGGAGAACGTTGTTGATACTGAAGTCGACAACATTGAGGCGGTTATTCATGCTTCGCCACCACTTCCGAGGCGGAAAGTAGTTCGTCCCAACAACGTGCCCTCTTGTTCCCTTTCTCCTGGTGCCGTTCGAGCCGTGCTCGAGGCAAACGGGCTTGCGGACAAGATTATTTTCATCATTCCGGAGGCTAGAGATCGGCCGTGGGATGCTCCTGAAGGCTTCCTTTGCGTCTATCTGACGTACTTCACTCAGTGCGGGCTTTCTTTCCCCATTCCCTCTCGCCTACTGGGATACTGCAATCGGCGCGGCGTAGCTCTCACACAGGTGATGCCAGCCTCAATAACGAACTACGTTGGGTTCGTTTCCTTATGCGACGAGCTTGGCGAAGTACCATCGAGTCGAATTTTCGAAGACCTCTTCTCGGTCAATATCCATAAGTCCAAGGAGTGGTTCTTCGCCGCCATTGCCAAGCCGAAGAAGAACTTAGTTATGGGACCTAAGCCCAGTAAATTCAACGATTGGGAGTCCCAGTACTTCTATATCGAAATGAACGATCTCACCGTCAGCAATTCTGACATCGCAATTCAGTCGAATTGGAAGATTCCGATTGGTAGATTAGATGATTTCACACTTAGATAACTTTTGACTTTTACTGCTTGCTAACTCGACTTCGTCTTATTTTCGTAGGTCGTCATCTTCCGAGTCTCCTTCTCAACTCCGGACTCACCTCTGAGTTCGAAGAAGCATTCAGCGAAGCCGGTAAACGTCATTGGCCGGAGGTTTGGGAAGAAATCCTACAACGCCGAGCTAAGAAAGCGGGTATGTTCATCGAATTCTATCTTTACTCACTTTATCCCGAATTTACTCCGAACTCCTCCTTAAACTTATTTTCATTTCAGGCTCCGTTCGAGAACCAAAACCACGCAAGCCGAGAACTCGAGCTAGCAAGCCTCGAACCGCTCCCAAACGCCAATCACTGAAGTCGCGAACTCAACGCTCCCGAGCTGCCAGGATGCTTTCCATTGACGAAATCCCAACTCTCTTTGATGAAGAGGAAACGGAGGTGGCCAAGCCGACCCCAGTCCTTGCTGCTGAACAGAACGAAGTGCAGCCAGAAGAGTTGCCACCTGCTGCGGGCTCACCTGATCAGGTTGATCAGAGGAAGACGAAGAAGAAGAAGTCTTCGAAGAAGAGTAAGAAAGCAGAGGACTCTTCTCGGGTGCAAGATACTCCCGCCGAGCTCGATCCACCGGCAGCTGTGGAGTCGGGCCTCGCGCTCTCGCAAGATCGAGCTGAAGCTTCACACTCCCGAAAAAGGCAAACCAGAGATCATGTCGAGGGCTCTCAAGAGCACGGGCCGGCTAAGAGAGTCCGAGTTTGTTTTGACTATGACGAGGAGACTCCTTTTGAGGAAAACGTAGATGCCTGCGCCGAGCTCTATCATAAGATCTCCTCGGAGGTACCTAGCCTTCCCTCGGTCCCCGAGCTCCGGTTTCCCAACATGTACAAGGGAATCGCTCACTCGACCGCTGTGGTAATTTTACTTACCCCTTATAGACTTAGATATTCTTCCAAGTATAAGTTCTAATTCCTGTTTCCTCTGTGCAGCTCGCCAGTCAGACCAATAACTTGGTCGCTGCATATGAAGTAGCCCTGTTCGACGAGCAAGTAAGGGTCTCCGAGCTCGAAGAAAGGATAGCCAAAGCAGAGGAGCGTCTCGCCACAGAGCTCCAAATCAACGAAACTCTGCACTCTCAAGTTGACTTGCTGAAAAAGGAGAGTGCAGAGCTGAAGGCGGTGAAAGACGAGCTCACCGAGGCCCAGAATTTACTCTCCAAAGAGTTCGAGAAGGACAAAGGGCGACTACAAGGTATGGTGGTGCACTGGAAGAATCGAGCTAGGAGCGTTCACGCAACAGCTTGCGAACGCCTTGAGAAGGTCATTCGGAGTTTGGATGATGCTGACAGGGCTCGGAAGCCGTACTTGGTCTACAACCAGCTCACCGGGGTCCTCGGTTTCATCAAGCAGTTGCGGAGGAAGGGTCTGTACGAGGTCCCGCCAGAAATGGTTGCGGATATTGAAGCAAGGCATGCCAAGGCGCTGGAGGACTTCAAGGCGATCGATGCTTGCGCGCTCACTGAGGAGGACAAGAAGATGTCTCCGTTCGTAGAGGAAGATGACATCCCGGTCGTAAATGTGACTCAGAGCGCACAAGATCCTGCGAGGGGCGAGCAGTTCGGCTCAAACGAGGACATACTCAACGCTGCTGCCTCGAAGACCATCTAATCTCTTCCTATTTTTCTTTTACTCTTCGAACTTAACTGCCCTTGCATGGGTTTCTTTTTGTAATTCTAATTCCGAGCCCTTGGTGGGTTCTGACTCTATTTGCCTCTCGGGGCTTTTTATTTTATGCGTTCGTTTTTCCTTCCTTCCTTGTCTTTAAAAGTTAGAAAAATCTTTCGATTAGTAGATCGGCATCTAACCTTCGATTTAACTTTATGTCGTCGTTAAGATTTGCGATTAACGCTTAAGTATTAGATCGGTATATAGTAGATATTCGAACGTGATTATTATCTTTTGATAGCGAATTGCGATAATTCGGCTTACGTTTTGCGAGTGTTGTGAACTCAGCTTACGGTGCGAATCTGAGGAGTCCGGCTTATCGTGCGAGCGTATGAGCTCGGCCTGGGGAACCCAAGTGAATCGTTTTGTACTGGAAGAGTGAATTAGATTCGAACTCTTGTAAATGCACGAAACGAATTCAAGGTTTTTCTAAGTCGAACCTAAGTATGCGAGATGTGCTCGGCTTATTGTTCTTGGTGACTTAGAAATTTAACTGCGGGACTGGGCCCGGCTTTTGATATGTGGCTTAACCACGACACCATGTGGGTGCTCGCGAGACGGATCTCGGCTTTTAAGTTTGCATTCATGTGGAATGCTATCGAACAACTGGCCAGGAAGTCGATGTAAAGACAAGGAGTTCGGTCCCTTGTGATTTCGAACTAACACTTAGTCATATCTTGACAATAAAATTTTATTGATGTTATAGCTGGACTCGGTAACGAGCTGCCTACGTACCCTTTAAAGGGATCAAGCCATTCATAGTTCTAAGTACAAAAGGGGTTTTTGCTCCGATTAAGTAGTTCGGAGGCTTTTTTTTTTTTTTTTTTTTTTTTTTTTTGGCGCTTCGAAGCGAACTAGTAGTAGTATCGTTTGAGATGCATCGAGTTCCAAGATCGCGGGATCGGAGTTCCGTCTAACTTCATGAGTTGATAAACGCCGGGCTTAACGACCTTCATAATCTGATATGGTCCTTCCCAGTTCGCGCCAAGTTTTCCTGCGTTCTTCTCTTCGGTGTTTTGATAGACTTTACGAAGTACGAGGTCGCCGTCTTCGAAGTGACGGCCCTTAACTTTTTTATTGTAGTAACGAGCTGCAAGTTGTTGGTAATTCTGTATCCGGAGTAGTGCTCGTTCGCGATGTTCTTCGACTAAGTCAAGTGCGTCGATCATTATATTGTCATTCGCCTCGGGTTGCTGGGTAAGCATAGTTCGGCGAATGCTTGGGACGTTAAGTTTGGCTGGACACATAGCTTCTGCGCCATACGCAAGGAAGAAGGGTGACTGACCGGTTGAACGTCGCGGTGTCGTTCGGTGAGACCACAGGACGCTGTCGAGTTCGTCTGCCCACGTTCCCTTAGCGATATCGAGTCGTTTCTTCAGTCCGTCAATGATGGTCTTATTCGTGGCTTCGGCTTGTCCGTTGCCTTGCGGATAACGCGGGGTTGAGAAACTTAGTCGGATTTTCCACTTGGCGCAAAAATCTTGGAAAATTATCGAAGTGAACTGGGTTCCATTGTCCGTAACGATCTCGTACGGAACTCCGTGTCGACAGATGATGAACTTCCAGCCGAACTTCTTGACGTCGATTCCATGGATCTCGGGGTATGCTTCGGCTTCAACCCATTTGGTGAAGTAATCTGTGACGACGAGGACGTACTGCTTCTGGGTCGTAGATCGGCGAAAAGGACTGATGATGTCCATTGCCCATCGCATGAAAGGATATGGTGCAGTCGAGGTCATCAGGAGCTCGGTAGGAAGATTTATCATCGGACCATGACGTTGGCACTTCTCGCAACGTGTCGTGTACTTCTCGCAATCAGAGAGCATAGTAGGCCAGTAATAGCCGGCTTTCTTGATCTTAAATGCCAAGGACCGAGCTCCGGAATGATTTCCTCCTTCTCCTTCGTGAATCTTTTGCATTACTTCCGCGATGTCATTGCCGTGAACACAAGTCAAAAGTACACCAGAAGCGTCCCATCTGAGAAGAGTACATTTAATGACCACATACCAGGCTGCGCGAGCCTTAAGGCGCCGAGCTGCCCATTTATCTGCGGGAACCGTTCCATCTCCGATGTATTCCACGATTTCCAAGGTCCAATCCTCGGGTTTGTCTTCTCCTTCGGCTTCAATATCGACGGGGACGTGCTGGCCTTCGGACTCGTCCTCGGATTCGGGCTCGTTATCGTTAAGCTCGTCCGTATCGTTGTCGCGATCGGGGATGACCTCTTTAGGTTTCGTCTTTCGGGTGAGGGGTGGAGCACGGTTTGGCTGGGCTTCGTAGTCACGCCGTCTTGTAATGATATTGCAGCTCGGATGGTGCTCGATACTTGGTCGCTCGATTGCTGCAATCGGGATAGTTCGCCGAAGATCAGGATCGGAATTAGTCGCGAGTGCGGCTAAGGCGTCGGCGGTTGCATTCTCGTCTCGAGGTATCTTTGTAAGCTCGAAGGTGGAGAACTCGGAAGCAATATCCTTAAGAACTTTGAGATATGCGTCCATGCGGTTGTTCTTGGCCTCGTATTCGCCGTGAAACTGGTTGGCTACGAGTTGAGAATCGCAATAGGCGTGTACGTGCTTGGCGCCGATACCTTTAGCGAGTCGTAGTCCGGCAATCAATGCTTCGTACTCGGCTTCGTTGTTGGATGCTGGGAAGCCGAGCCGAAATGACTGCTCGATTACTTCTCCTTCGGGTGACTTGAGACGTATTCCAACTCCGGATCCTTTATGGGATGATGAACCATCGGCGTGAAGAATCCAAGGTTGTACGACCGGATTGTCTTCGACGAGCTCCGGTGGGAGTTCGACCAAGAAATCTGCTAGGACCTGAGACTTCGTTGCCGTTCTGTTCCGGTATTCAATGTCATATTCACTAAGTTCGATAGCCCACTTAGCGAGTCGTCCGGACTGACTTGGGCTGTGAAGGAAAGTGCGAAGAGGGTGATCGGTCAAGACCACGATTGCATGAGACTGGAAGTACGGGCGTAGTTTCCGTGCAGAAATAACCACGGCGAAGGCGAACTTCTCCAAAGTCGGATAACAATACTCCGATCCGTCATGGGACTTGCTCATGTAGAAAATTGGTTTTTGTTCGCCGCGATCTTCTCGAACAAGAACGCTGCTAACTGCGAACTCCGAAATCGCGATGTAAAGATAAAGTGTCTCGCCGGTTTTTGGTTTGGACAGAACTGGCGGAGTGGACAGATATTCCTTTAGCTCGGTGAAGGCTTCTTCACACTTCTCGTTCCATTCGAGGTGCTTGTTACCGCGGAGAAGTTGGTAAAAGGTTAAGCACTTGTCCGTTGATCTAGATATGAATCTGTTAAGCGCTGCAATACGTCCGGTAAGCCGCTGAACTTCGCGTTTGGTTGTCGGCGAGGGGAGCTCGAGAATAGCGGCGATCTGCTTCGGATTAGCTTCGATGCCTCGCCGTGTGACGATATATCCGAGGAATTCTCCAGATGTTACGCCGAACGTACACTTAGTTGGATTAAGCTTCATACCATATTAATTCAAGATATCAAAGCATGTGCGAAGATGACCGACGTGCTCGGAAGCGATGAGCGACTTCACGAGCATATCGTCGATGTAGACTTCCATAGTTCGTCCGAGCTGGCTCGCGAACATCCGGTTTACCAGTCGTTGGTACGTTGCTCCAGCATTCTTCAGGCCGAATGGCATGACCTTGTAGCAATAGATGCCACGGTCCGTGATGAAGGATGTCTTCTCTCGGTCCTGTGGATGCATGAGAATCTGATTGTATCCGGAGAACGCATCCATGAATGAGAGTAGTTCGTTTCCGGCAGTTGCTTCCACCAGGCGATCGATATGAGGTAACGGAAAGCTATCTTTCGGACACGCTTTATTGAGGTCGGTGAAGTCGACGCAAATTCTCCATTTACCATTCTTCTTCTTCACGACCACAGGGTTTGCCAACCAATCTGGATACTTAACTTCGGTGATAGATCCAGCTTTGAGTAAGCGCTCGACCTCGTCATTCACGGCTTGCGCTTTCTCTGGCACAAGCTTTCGGCGTTTCTGTTTGATAGGCTTGTATGTCGGATCGATATTGAGCTCGTGGCACGCGATCTGCGGGTCAATCCCGGGCATGTCTTCTACCGACCAAGCAAAGGTTGAGGTATGCTGTTTCAGGAAACGAATGAGTGGTTCACGGATGACTGGGTCGAGCTCGGCACCAATTCCAACTTGACGCTCTGGCCTGAGTTCGTCAATGCTAACTTGAACGATTGATTCCTGCTTAGGCTTTGTCTTTTGGACGATGAGCTTGTCAGTTGGTCCGAACGAACTAATGACGCAAGCTTGGTTGGCCGAGTGGAGTCTGCACTCATTTATGTAGCACGACCGAGCAACGGCTTGGTCTCCTCGGAGTGTGTACACACCGTCGGGGGTCGGGAACTTCAAGCATTGATGGTACGTCGAAGCGACCGCTTTCATTGCGTGCAGCCATGGCGTACCGAGAATAGCGTTGTAGATCGCCGGTTTGTCGAGGATAAGGAACTGGATCATCTTTGCGATTCCGCCGACGTAGATTGAGATTTTGACAGTGCCGATCGTCATACAACGCTCTCCATCAAATCCGGTAAGTGGCTCGATGAACGGATCAATCCTATCTGACGCCAACTCGAGCTGGTCAAGTGCTTCCTTGAAGATAACGTTGACCGAACTGCCAGTATCGATCAGAATGCGGCTAACTTTGACGTCGTCGAGGAGTAGATCGACAACGAGAGCGTCATTATGCGGCTTGTGAATTCCGATTGTGTCAGCCTCGGTAAAGACCAAGGGCGCTCCTTTCGGAGGATCCTGTGGGGTTTTTGGTGTGCTAGCGGCTTGTTTGCTGTATTCTTTGATGGCTCGAACGGAATAACTGCAAGCTTCGATGGCCCCCATTATCATGTTGACACGTTTTCGCGCCTTAGGAGCACGATTCTCCGGAGCTCGGTCATCGCGATTCCGTTTCCGTTGCTCGGGCAAAGCAGGCGGATTCGGTGGCGGTGGTGGTAGTGTCGGTAAAGCCGGTGGAGTTGGTGGATCTTTGGCAAGTGCTTTCTCGAGATGTTCGTTGTTCGGTCGGGGCATCGAGAGTTGCCCACCGCTCTTAGGCGTATTTGAGCGTCGGAGTTCGTCGACCGAGATCGGCTCCTTGCGATACAGGCCGAGTAGATATTCTCGCAAATGCCTGCATTCTTCGGTGCTGTGGCCCCTACGGTTATGGAATTCGCAGAATAACGACTCGTCTTGGTCTTCTTCACCGCGGACCCATTTATTATTCCACTGTTTGCTTGGTTGTTGGATTGCGTTAGCATAGAGTTTCTTGCGGTTCTCGTATCCTCGACCGTATCCCGACTGCGGCTCGTTAGTCGCGGGTTTCGGACGTTCGGGTTGTTTTGTTGAGTGACTTTGCTCGTACGCAGCTTCTTCTTCTTCTTCAGCAATGTAAGTATTAGCTCGGTGTAATGCATCTTCTAACGTCTGCGGTGGGTTGTGCGTGATCGCGGTTCGGAAACTGGTCTTTATCCGAGCTCCTTTCTGAAGGCATAAGAGAGCGGCTTCGTCGCTAATCGTGCAGTTGGCGACGATTTCCTTGAAGCGCTGGATGAAGTCGCGAAGGCTCTCGCTTGGTCCTTGAGCTATTTGCCAGAGCTCGGAGTTCTTGGTATTCTGTCCAATGAACATGGAGAAGTGCTTGACGAAGGCTGTCGTTAACTCTTTGTAGCTGTCGATTGAATTGGCTTCGAGCCGTGAGAACCAGTCGAGAGCTACTCCTCCCAGACTTTCCACAAATAGTTGGCATTGAACCGCGTCTCTTTCTTCGGCGGACTTAAACTGGTATCGGTTCATGCAGATGCCGAACGATGTCAGGAAGTGTCGAGGGTCAGAGTTGCCCTCGTAGATTTTCATCTTCAGTTTCTCCATGTGCTTGACCGGCGTCCCTGCGATGCGCGATGTGAAAGGAGTCTTCTGTGTTTCCTGAATGACGCGCTCGATCTCCGGAGCCGCGCTTGTGGCTTGATGTATTTTTGAGGTGATATCGCGAAGCTGTGCTTTCATCGCTTCAAACTCGGCATCTCGGCTTGAGTTCGGTGCTGGTGGGTTTGCTGACCCGACCGCGGCAGACCTCATAGTTCCGGTTGGATCTCCGTCGGCATTGAGATCGTCAATGATGTTCCGAACTCGGAGAGGAGTTCGTGTCTGACTGAGTTCGGCGATCTGTGCCGCCATCTGACTGAAACGTTCCTCGCTCCTTTTGTTGATGGCTTCGAACTGAGCAGTGAACATTTGGAGTAACAGGTCGGTTACGGCTGCGGGAGTTTGCTCGGCAGCAGTTCCGGTGTTTTCTCCAGGAGTTCCTCCCGTTTGTCCTGTTTGGACGTTGATGTTATTTTCCCTGAGAGGGTTTTCTTCTTCGTGAACGTCGGATTGGTCTGCCATCGCTGATTCAATCTTTCCGAAGTCCGATCAAAAATCTGAGATATCTGTTTCCTAAGCAGAAGGCCGTAGGTTCGACCCCTACCTGGCGCGCCAATTGTTGATATGTGAATATCGACAAGGGACAAAACAGTAATTTAGATCGGAAGCTCGGTTTTATTAGATTGAATCAGGTGAAATACAGATGAGTTCGGTTATTTCAATAGGCAATAACGAACTAAGACTTAATGCGACTAAGAAGCTGTCGTAACGAGTTCTCAGTCTTTAAGTCTTCTTGGGAATAACTTGTGTTTTCTGATGTCGATTCGTCTCCCTTTATATATATCTCATAAGTCGGTCTTCAAGCACGCCTTAGACGATATGAGACCGAGAGGGGTTTCCTTTTCTCTCGGTTCCTTTCCTTCTCTCTCCGAAGTTTCCTTTTTCCTTCAGGAAACTTTCCTGTTTCGGCCGAGCTCAAGGAAACCTTCTATTCCTTTGAGAGGTTTCCCACCGACCTCGGTCTAATGGGCTATCTTCGGCCCATCTTCGCTCGGCCCATCTTCTCTCGGTACATCCCTTCGTAAACCGGGCTTACGGTTCGCCGATCTCAGTTTGTACCGGAGAAAATCGGGGTGCGGTTTTCACCTCCAACACCAGAAGGTCCAAAACATGTGATGTCTGAGTTTTCTTTCTTCAATCATTCAGAGAATACCTATAAAATTAAGCTTCTCTGAATACCAATAAACAGAAATATTTCAAAAATATTTGTATTAACTACTCTGAAACAACAATCTATTACTCCCTCTGTTACAAAATATTGTCGTTTTATGATTTATTTTTTATTTCAAAATATAAATCGTTCTCGATCAATGCAAATGTTTGATAATTTTTCCATTTTTATATTCTCTTAACTTATTAATTAGTGTGAACACAATATATAATATATTAATGAGAGATAAAATAGAGAATTGAATTGTTTTTTTAATATGTGTTAAAAAATTTACAACAACTTATATTTCAAACGGAATGAGTATATAATTAGAGAGTTTTCTCTCCAACTATAGTATTCACATCAGCAGAGAAAAAAACTAAAACTAAATTTAGTGACTCAATTAATTTAGACACTTTAAAATCTTGTATTATTAATTAAGAAGGACATTTTAAGAACAACATTGACTTGATATATGATTTATAAAAGTGTCATGATGATGTGTCGTCATGAAAGAGTTTCTCAAAACACATATAAAAATGATTGATTTACTAAAGTAATTACATCATATGCCATTAACAGTAATTTGGTTATTTGGTTAGAGATAAGTTTATATCAATTATATATTTAATATTTAATATTTAATTTATAAATATATGCTGTCTTTTTCTATTTCTTATCTACATATTCATAAATTAATGCATAATATTACTTATGTTACTAGTGAATTTTCCCGCGTCTTGCGTGGGCTAATATATTTTTCATTTGATTCTTTGAAAATCTAATAGTAGTTTGGATTCATTTATTTTTTATTCTCTATTGTTGAGTATATATTTGTTTGTTAGATTTTCTTGCATTTTAATGTTTGAAGACATGATCGTAAAAACAATGTAGAATATAATAGATAAAAATATATTAGTATCCAAATAATTTAGTTTAAATAGTTTTGAGATCTTTTGATTACTGTTCTATGTATTTTAGACATGTTTTTTTTGCAATACCGTACAAACTTATTTGATTTTGATCACTGTTCTATGTATTTTAGATATAGTTTTTTGAACCACTGTACGAACTTATTCGAAGAAAAAAGAAGAGTTTAAACAATTGAGAAGGGTGTGAGAGAATTAGAAATAAGTCGTGCATATTTATACTAAAATATTTGAAGTCGAAAACCCTAATCTAGGCATCACAAATATCATCATTCCATTAAACTATTTACTGATTTTTATTTTTTTTTTAGTTTTTTATTAAATTTTGGTTTTATAAAATTTTGGAAACAGTTTGATTGACAATGAAATGAAGCATTAAACCACAATAATTTAGAGCGGTTTGTTTTAAGTTATTTCAAATTTTCAATACATCATCAGATAGAACCAATCATAAAAAGACATGTAATTAAAAATATGATCAAAATGTTTTTTTGCAGCTGAAACTCATTCTGGAGATAACACGTAAGCAAAACATTCTGAAACTCGCTGTGAAGCCGACACCTAAGCAAATCACTATAAAAATAAGCCACATTCCATTAGTTAGAGATTATTTCCTTTTTTAACGATATTTCATTAGTTAGATATATAGATTTTCTTTTTTTTTACTTTTTTTAATTTTGATTTTATAAACTTTTAGAAACGGTTTGATTTGACAGCAAAATTAAGCATAAACCATAATAATTTAGAGTGATTTTTTTTTATTAAGAAATAAAACAAAAAAAATACAATTTATAATTAAGAAAAAAGAAAAAGAAAAATATATATATTTATATATATTCTTTTAGCATAAAAATTAAACATTATATTATAATTTTAAAAATAAATTGAAAAATAGAATACAAACATAAAAGAAAAAAAATTGTAATTTCTCACATCTGTAAAACCAGTTTGATAGCTTCTTATATTCACAATCAAAGTAAAAAATCTTAGTTTCATTTTGTTTTTTTTATATTATTTTTATGTGCTATAAAATATAATTTACAACCCGCATATATGCGGATACTTATCTAGTTAAAATATAAAGAAGAATATGAAGATGAAGACCAAGTAGAAGCAGAATTATACATACACGAGATAAATAAAAATAAGAGACTAAACAAATTTAGAAGAAGAAGATGAAGAAAAAAAACTGAAAGGAAAAAGAAAAGAAGTAGAACACGAAACGACGAATACAAAAAAAAAAGATAAAGAAGTGGATGAAGAACAACATGAATCTGATGAAGATGAATTAAAAAAAATACATGGACAAATGAAAAATAGACCGAAATATAAAGATAACAATTTATAAGAATATTCTGGCGAGGGAAAAATGATACATTCGGCTCAAAATTTTCATCTAAAGTAACATGGCACAACATCAGAACTGAGAAGCCGCAGAAAGCTTGGAGCTATTTGGTGTGGTTTCAAAATGCTACACCAAAGTTTGCATTTATTACGTGGTTAGCAATGCTAAACAGACTCTCCACGGGAGGTTCTATGGCTCTATGGGGTCAAGGTATTTCCACCACCTGTGTTTTTTACTCACACCCGATGGAGACAAGGAAACACCTGTTTTCGAATGTGTCTATTCAAAACAGATATGGGAAGCTCTGGTATTGGGTCTGCTATCGTCGAACTATTCATCGAGGTGGGATGAGATTGTGCCATTGCTCACATCAAAGATTCTGAATAGAACAGAACTGTTTCTTGCACAATATACATTCCAGACGATTTTGACATTGGTTTGGAGAGAAAAGAATGCCCGTCGACATGGAGAAATCCCAACACCAGCTGACACTATGATCACAATTTTGGACAAAACTGTACGAAACCAATTGAGCTCTATGTGATCAGCAGGAGATCAACGCTATAATGATGGCTTTACAACCTGGTTTGGCACCCGTCGATGAACAAAGTCTGAAAACACATTTTAAGCAAAAGCTTTATTGCTCTGTTTTGAGTCTGTAAATATAATTCTTTTCAATTTTTTCCTTTATGATTGTATATGTAAAGGAAACCGTATTTTTTTAAATAAATTTAACATGTTTTCAAAAAAAAAAGAATATGAAAATGGGAAGAAGCCTAATAAAATAAAAAAATATTATGAATTAGCTGTTCAACAATCCGTATTCATAGATGTTTAAAAATGAAATCCCGCATAAGATGTATGACCTAAATCTAGTTCTATTAATCGTAAAGCACAAATATTTTATTCCATAGAATTTAAAATTACTAGAAACATATTCGTCTCGCCCATGCTGCTAAAGTCTAAATATCCAATGTTTTCAGATAAAAGCAATGAACTTGTTTCAAATATGCGTCAATATATTTCAGCGATAAGAGTATGAGTTACATAATTATCTGGATATTTGAATTACTCAATAAGGTATGAAAATAAATGATATTAGATAAAAAAAAATATATTTGAGAAAATTACATAAGTCAATTCAAAAAGAATAATTAAAAATAGCTAGGATATGTTATAAACAAATGGACTTCTAGTAACCGGATGGTTAATGTCTCATGGCCCATTAGGGTTTCGATACATTAGCTATGTAATGTATATATACACTGCTTATGGAAACAATAAGATAAGAGTTTTTCCCTTAATACGTTATCAGCACGAAGCTCAACTTCAAACGATCATATCTCTCAAAATACAAGAAGTTAGAAGACGATCTACATATCATTTTGAAGCCCTGGAAGAGAAGAATCTAGTGGTGAAAACCGCTCCTCAATCCGACACCAGACGCGCCCTCAAGACTCAAAACAATCGGCGCTATCCCACCTTAGCGGGTGATTCTTTCCAAGCGGTGGTTCCTCCATTGTAGTAGCTGTTCGTCCTCCCTTCTGGCCATCATTCTCAGGAGTTTCCAGTAGATATCTGTGGTCTTTAGCTCCCAGATCATAAGCCGGTCAGAAATCCATTTGGCGAAAAGATATGCAAGACAATATGGATATCATTGTGGATAGTGGATCGAGCCACACCATTCTAAAAGACAAGAATTACTTCATAAATTTAGTAATCAAAACCGCAAACATTAGCACTATAGCGGGTAGTTCGAGCCTAATAGAGGGCCATGGCCAAGCTAATGTGCTGTTATCAAATGGCACATATCTAGACATCTCTGATGCCTTATACTCACCCAGTTCTAAGAGAAACCTATTGAGTTTCAAAGACATAAGATTGAATGGTTTCCATATCGAAACTCAGGATGAAGGGAACAAAGAGTTTTTAATTATCACTAAAATGATAAATGGCCATAAACAAGTTTTTGAAACTATACCCGCCGTATCTACTGGCATTTACCATGCTAAAGTCAGTATGATTGAGGCTAATGCTG